GCCGCCCCCGCGTCTCGGCCCCGCAGCCGCTCCCTGGGGGTCCACCCAGGAGCAGAGACCGCAGAGGGCACGGAGGATCCCTCGGCTGAGGCACGTCCTCCCACAGACGGGCGTGCTTCTGTACTGTCAGCGGGCTTCGAGCCGAAAACGGCCAGCGACTCCTCCGTGCGTGACTGGCTGAGGAAAACCGGCGGGGGGGAACGCATCTCTCAAAGTGCCTGAAGTTGACACACGAGCAGAAACAACAGATGACACTGAATTTGATTTCATCAGTATTGGAGACTTAGTAAATGATTATCCTACGGCATCTGTTCCAGAGCATCAATCAACTCCCAGTGCACCAACAGGTTTCTCCCCGGGGAGAAAGATATCCGTAACCAAGCACTTTGACTGTGCCACTACCGATCTCTCAAAGTGCCTGAAGTTGACACACGAGCAGAAACAACAGATGACACTGAATTTGATTTCATCAGTATTGGAGACTTAGTAAATGATTATCCTACGGCATCTGTTCCAGAGCATCAATCAACTCCCAGTGCACCAACAGGTTTCTCCCCGGGGAGAAAGATATCCGTAACCAAGCACTTTGACTGTGCCACTACCGAAGAAGATGAAGAAAAGTCTCAGGACATGGTGAGCAGCAAGAGGCAATCCAGTTCATCTCTGAGTTCATGGTGCAAATCAGTGCAGATGCCCCAGAGTTCCCCTGAAAGTCTGTTTCTGAACCCAAGGGGAAGTGGTTTTATCTTCATGCCTGGGAGAATGAAGGAAGAAATCCTTGCTGCTCGATTTCTGAAGGATGATGATTACATGCAGCTTCTGGCAGGAGTAGAACATAATTGGCTGGTCCAGAGACTGATGCCTACTGGAATTTTTAAGTCTAAACAGCTTCGTAAAGCGTACTGTAAGTTTCCACACAGTGATGGGCATTTTTAGGCAGCAGCAGGTACTCCCACGCAGAACAGTCTTGACTCAGGCTTTTTAACACAATGGTTTAGTCTTAATTTATTAGGACTTAATTTTTTGTTGTTTTATAGAAGAATTTTAGCAATGGAAGAACACTTCCTTGAACCATGTTCCCCTATTCCTTCTTACCCGTTTGCACATCAGTCAAAGCTTCATGGAAATGGGCTCCAACTCCATGCCCACTCAGTCCCTCCTGCTTCATGCAAGAGATTACTTAGGCTGCTTGAACTCTCTGTGCCACTTCATCATGCTCCTTCTACCCCACTACCTGAGTCTCTGGTTTTGTCACTCATTTAGATTCCACATTTCATCCTGCAAACTGTGCATTTAAGGTAATGCTTATTAAGGTAATCAGAAATAGCAGCCATACCTTAATATACAGACCCTTGAGGGATATACTAAGAAATATAGAAGCTGGGAGCAACACCACTGTAGGCTGCCTCATTGAGCTCATTAAGTAAAACCCACTTAGGGCTCATCCCATCTTACATGTCTCAAGCCTGTTTAGCAATGTTTTGTCCTTAATATAAAATATCAAACTCTGCACCTAGATGTTTCTTAGCATATATTTTGTAGCCTCCTACTTTGCTTTTAGAATCATAGAATCATAGAATGGTTAGGGTTGGAAGGGACCTTAAAGATCATCTAGTTCCAACCCCCCTTCTTCCCTTTAGAGAAGCCTGGCTATCTTATCTCCTGGGTGCTGACTGTTTCATCCCTCAGCACAGGCTTAGAACAGTCCTATAGAATGGTCCATTCTACTTGTGGTGTTTTCTTTTTGTAGCCGCTCTTCTTTTAAAATACTCAAAGAAATCAGGCCTCTGGACAGGCCAAGAAACAGCTGTATTCATTGGGGACTATCTGAACGTGGCAAAGGAAGGCAAACAGAGAAGTGCGTTTTGGATACACTTCCTGCACCAAGAAGAAAGCCTGGGAAGGTATTGATCAGACAAATTTCTGAAACAAAATGTTTATCAATGCTACTTCTGTGTAAATGTGAATGAAAACTGCCTGGTTAAAGATTAGTGTCATACCTATGATTCAGCGTTATTAGACAGCTTTTATCAAGTATCTTCAGAAGGCAGGACAGGTTTTTACTTGGATAACTACAGAAATCATAGTCACAGTGGGAGAAAATTGTTTCCTTAGTCTGTTTCAACCTAGCTTACACTTTGACGGATTTTGGCTGATTTTCTGTAGGAAGATTGTTTTCTGGCTTTCCCCAATCTCTTGGGCATTTGGCAATCTTTCCCATCACTCCGTGTAACTCTCTACTTTTTAATTTCTGGGAGGAAAAAGCTACTTCACTGTTGTCTTCTAACAGCCATGTTAATGTTCATTTGCTCGTGGCAACACTTAGGCCTGACTTCACCTTTGTCTGTGCTGGGGTACTCTCATGGCAGCTTAAATGTTGCTTCCTTTTTATCTGACCTCCAGCTCTGCATTAGAGAATTAGCGATACAGCAACATGTGTATCTATATCGCAATACCTATAGCCAGAAAGGTGTTTCACTTGCTTTGCTTTAACTTTAGCAGCAGGCTTATGGAATGGATATATCTGCTCTGAAAGGAGGATTAAAGTCACCTATTTGCTTCATAAAGACCTCTGCATGGGGAGAGCTCTGCTAACTGCTAATTGCAGATTTTGGAGTGTTATTAGAAGTAGCTTATGAATTATTATGGGTCAAGAACAGCATTTTAAGTACCTCTGAGTTGGGTCTCCCTTCAGAGTCAAGAAGAGTTGACATTAAACATTCACGTGTTATGAACCTCCCATCCGAGGATTTGATTGATCGGTACAGCATTTTAGGCCTTGAAGAGCTATAAATGAAAAACCCCACAACAAAAAATGCCATTTTAAATGCATCACCAACAGCTGGTTTTGCTTCTGAACAGCCAAGCTCTGCTTTGTAGTGATGTTTCTGTATGCCAAGTGGGGCTTCCCAGGTGCAGTGTGCTGCAAATCTGGCTGTGCCAAACACATCTCTTTTTGTTTAGGTATGTCGGGAAAGAATATAAGGAAGAAAAAGGACTTCTTCACCATTTCAGTGATGTGGAACGGCAAATGACTGCCCAGTACTACGTGACGGAATTCAACAAAAGGCTCTACGAGCAAAAGGTCCCTACCCAGATCTTTTATATCCCATCTGCAGTACTCCTGGTAAGAACTGTCTCCTAAGCAATATAAAGGGATTGATGGGAAGAGTGTCTTGAGTAATTTTTGGTTTTAAAATACCGGCCACCTCTAGATGACACGCTGTCACTTATGTGATCTTACCTGGTAGCTGCATTTGCTCATTTCAGGACAGAAGACACCTACCTGCAAAGCTACAAGTTCATGAGTGAACTGGCAGAAAAGATGCCATGTCCTGTTAGAAGTCAGAAACTCGCTTGTAAATGAAGCCCAGGAGTTACCCAGCCTTTTATGTCATCTAACAGTATACGCGCATCTCTTTTCAGGGGTAGTTATGAAATCTGATCAGCAAAGTTCAGCATAATCCCTTTTTATACTCCTTAAGCCCTATCTTAAAAGCAGACATGCTGTGGTTTGTATTTTAACCTTTGTTGTTCCCAGTAAGAAATCATTGTAGAGCCACTCTCTTGATGTCTGGAAAACTTGTGCTATTTTCTAACCTGAAATTAGTCAATTTATATTTATTGTCTTCCTTGCAACTTCTTTGAGACCTAGATTTAAGGGGAAGAGCAGCAATAACATCCCTTTGTAGCCTCTGTTCTCTAGGCTAGGGAAGCCAAGCTCATTTTAGTGTCACCTCAAGATACAGGTCTATCTTCCCCTGTTCATCCGTGAAACCCTAAGCCTGTTCTACTTTGAATTCATAATTCTTAAATATTGATGATCAGAATTGTGCAGCGTTCTCCTGAGACCCCTCCGTGCCTTTTGCAGAGGAAATAGGAATTCTTACCCTTAGTGAGACCTGCATTTTTCATGGCCATATCACACTGGCAGCTCAGTCATCCTTCAAATGCCTGTCACAGGAAGCTCTTTTCCTCACTAACAGCCCCTTAGCATAGGATAGGACACCTTTACACCACAGCTCAATTAGCTTGTTGGCACAACCTCACCACTGATCCAGTGCCCTACAGCCTGCTCCTTTTCCGCTCGTCCGTGATGGCACAACCAGTATCTTTCCACCTGTGTGGGCTGTACTCAGTCATGAGAAGGAAATGCCCCTTGCCTTCCCTGCAGCTGAGCGTACGTGGACAGGTGAGGGAAGGCTGGTGGAATTGACAGTTTCAGCGAGGCCACGCATCCATCAGCCCTCTCCCACTGAGGAGCATTTCTGTCCCTCCATTCCAAGGGTCCAGCCTCAGAGGTGGGCTGCTGACAGCTAGGTGGGACATGGACTTATCCAAGAGGGCCTGGGAGCAAGGGGCAGCAAAGTCCTGAGTATTACTCTCTCTTTCTTTCTTGGGTTGAAAAAACAAAAAGCTTGAAGCTAAAAGTTTCAAGAAACAGCACTTTGGGGTTAGTCTGTTAGTCTCTTTAAAGAACAAAAACCAGCTGTTAAAATACCCAGCACCCGACCAAAGCAACGACCACTTTTCATCATGGGAGATACTTGTTTGCCCGCTCAGTTCCGAACACATGGAGTCTGAGGAGGCCGTGTTAGACATGCCCTCAGGTCTTGACGGGCGGATCGTGTGCGTTATGTGTTTCAGGTAGCTGTAGCCAGGACATCTCTTGCTTCTGCACAACGGCTGTGAGGACAGCATGCAAAGCTGTGAGACGAAAGGCCCTGCTGTGCCAGCACCCAGCCTGACAGAGGCAGGCGCCACATCTGGGTGACCTGGCACAGAGGTTTAAAGCTGACATCCAGCCCCCAGCGGGAAAGTGAAGGATCTGCTCTTTATTCTTACGCTTAACTTTCCGTTTGACTTGTGTCACTAACGTGGAGAGCGACCTTCCACAGTACGGCACTGAACTCGGGGTTTCATGAGGAGTAGTGTATGACAGCACGCTGTGCACGTCACTGTTCCTGTTAGCCCTTCTGGCACTACATCTGGCTCTAGGCCGCTCGCTAATAAGGCCTAATGAGTCTGTCAGTACTTACAAGTCTCTGAACATAGAAATTACTAAAAAACCCCTCAAACCCCTCCCACTGGTTATTTACACACAGAAGAAGGACAGGTGCAGGTTTACTCAAATATTTTCATCTTTCTGGGTTGTTCTTTAGACATAGTCTCCTGAAAGAAGTTTACTATTTGCTGGACAAACCAGATATTTCTAGAGTTCATTGCTTGCGGAGTTTGCCCTGTCACCCTGATTTTGTGTTGGATCTTGTTTGTTCTAGTTAAATGCGAGCTCCTCATCTAAACAGCCTGTGTTTTGATTCGGCTGTGGGATAAGATGAGAACTCGTTCCACCCATCTTATGATGGAAATTTCTAAGAGGAAAAAACCAAGACTTCAGCTGTAGCATCCTTGTTTTCACATCTCTGCTTGCGTGACTGTCAGCAACATTCTTGTTTCAGATACTGGAAGACAGAACTATAAAAGGATGCGTGAGCGTGGAGCCGTACATCCTCGGGGAGTTTGTGAAGCTGTCCAATAACACCAAGGTAGTAAAGAACGAGTACAAAGCCACAGAGTACGGTCTGGCCTACGGCCATTTCTCCTATGAGTTCTCCAATGGGACAGACGTCGTCGTTGATCTGCAAGGTTTGTATTACAGTGAACTTCATTTCTTGTGTGTCCTCTCACGCTGCAGAACATGCTGTATACAGGATGTACTGTCTGTACGTGAAGTAACATGAGGGAGGTGTGTGCAGGGGCGTGTTTGCCTGGAGCGGTGCTCTTGTTCTCCGCTGCATCACAGCACGTAAGCCGCGTGCTCCCAAGTGTGCCACAGCTTCATGCCATGGGGTGATCTGTGTCCAATTAGACTAAAGCCAGCCTGCAAGGATGTGTCTTGTGGAACCGTCTGAAGGAGAACCACTAAAAAAGGTAGTGGGTTTTGTCCCACTTCTTCCTTCCTAAATTGGCAAGCTTAAAAAAGGTCCCCTGAATAATGGAGAATTGAGCTCTTTGGTTAAGAGCCAAGGATAAAACCTTTCAGACTCAGCCTCTAGCTCACAGGTATTCATTTAATTAAATATTCATTATGGACTTCTTAGGGATGTGCTTTTGCTGGCGTAGGTGGAAACTGGGAAACACTGAAGTGGCATTAGCAGCGTGTGTGCCAAGCAGACAGTCCTGAGCACGATAATACAAAGGCTGTGATGTTTGATACCAAGATGTATCCTTTCTTCCACAGGCTGGGTGACAGGTAACGGGAAAGGCCTCATCTACCTGACAGACCCCCAGATTCATTCTCTTAACAGCAAAGATGTTTCACACTCCAACTTCGGGAAGAAAGGAATTTATTACTTCTTTAATAATCAACACGTGGAGTGCAATGAAATCTGCCGCTGCCTTTCTTTAACAAGACCCTCAGTAGAGCTGCCAATGTAGACTCGCACAAAGAATGACCCGTGAGCTGGATGGGGTTTTACCCTACACACCTTTAGGAGCGTCTTGTCTTTGTGAGCACAGAGCCATCAATATGATACCATGTGAGTCGGGTCAGTCATTAACTGCACGAGTTTGTCAAGTTCTGATCTTTGTATCCAGGCTGGTAATACCATGTTATCATCTTGTGTACCATCTGAACCTCATGTTGTTATAGCCAGCTGTAGGAATTAGCAGAAGAAGATAAGAAGAGTAAGAAAGCGATCTCCCAAATTCAGCTGGAGATGTACTACAAGACTGTATAAACTTCCAATCCATTCAGACCCAGTAAGGGCAATAGGCATCATCCGCTCTTTGAAAATGGACTATGAGTTGGAGTGAGGCTGAAGCAGGGACTTGTATTTCAACCATCTGGAAAACTTTCAGAAACTTGTATAAATGCTTTAGGGAACAAATGGTAACGTTTTGATTTGCTTCAAAAATAACAAACTTTGTTTCAGTGGTGCGTAGGTATAGGTGCATATATGACCACATGACATCTAAACAGATGGAAATAGGGCTTTAACTGTAACAGCCAAGGAAACTCCGCTGCTCTGCAAGGAACCAACAGCGTTCTTGGACCAAGAGATGCTTTGCATGAATAATCGAGGACTGGTACATTTAACAGACTCTCAGAAGACTTTCCCAAGAGAAGAACAGTTCTCACTTAAGGGCAGCACATCTCTTCCACCCCTAATGAAACTGTGAGCACAACAGATTTGAAGACCAATTATATAACTAATGCCCACAAATAATCTCACTGAGCGTGACTGTAGCCACCTGTAGAAAAGAAGTGGTTCTGGGGGGAGCCCAGCACCTAATTAGCGCAGAGCAAGCTGCCTCAGTGCCAGTTTTGGTTCCAACTAGGCAGGCAAAGCACCCCCTCCCTTGGAGCCTGCGTCACCCAGCGTCACAGAGCTGCGAGGTGGGAGGTGTTCAGGAGGAGCAGTCCCTTTCTCAGCCACGTTCCCAGCAGGAGCCGAAGAAGTAGACTTGCAGTTTGCTGCCAGCAGCAAGGGCGATGGGTTGTGCCCTGGGGCTGGTGGAGGCACAGCCTGCAGGGTTTCCAACCGCCTGCTTTTCTGGCACAGCCCAGAAAACACATTTATGGAAGTAAAGCAGGTGTCCAGTAATATTTAAGTGATGTGTTAACACACTGTCCCTACCAACAGTCCACACCGAGACCCACATCCTCTCAACCCACCCCACTCATACAAAGTCTAAATTTGAACCTATACAATGTGTGTGGGGTGGTTCTTTACAACTCCTCCTGTGCTGGGAACACACTTTACTGCCACACATGCAAGCAGCTGCAACTTAGTCCTTGAACTCCCACATTTCAGCAGTATTTTTGTTATTGTCTGTGGTTGTCCCGAGCATACTCAGAGGGACCCTGGTTTTTAACGCCGTGACTGAACAGCCCACGGCATGTACGCCGGCCACATGCTTCAGTAGTGCCTGCCTGGGTTAGGGGCAGCTGCAGCCTTTCACTTCTTATGAAACAATCTTCTGTGGGCTTTTTTTTGTTGTTGTTTTGTTGTTTGTTTGGGATTTTTTTTTTTTGAAAACTAAAGCTTGCAATTCATTCACGCGACCTCCTTCGACACCTAGGGCAATTCACAAACTGATAACCACTCACCGACTCCTAAGAGACGCGACGGGCAGAGTTCCTCTGTCCCAGCAACCTTCAGAAGCGTGTAGAGAAAAGCGGTGCCCTCCCAGCTTTGTGAATCCTAGCTGAACAGCTGAAATAGTGTTTTCCTTTCCCGCACTGGCTGCTTAGCTGAAAAGAGTCAAACCTGCTGGCATGGCCTGATGTACATGCGCTGTCGAGAAAGCGGCCCTAAAAAAGAGGGGATGAGAGCTTCTCACACAAAATGCTGCGCCTCCTCAATGCTGAATTAAGCCAACTGGAGTGTCTGGATGAAATAAAAAAAACCCCAAAGGACTATTGGCGATATTACCCAAATTCAGACTGCGACGAAGAAGCGTTTTCAAACCAAATATGCTGACTAATGCGTTTTGTCCTCAAAAAATTCAACTGGCCATTTTACATCTACTGCAGACAGACTTTCGATGAGTTACCTGCCCAGGGCGAATGGGCTTCAACCTTTCTTTCCTGTGGGCGGTTAACCTGCACGGGCTTGCAGGGGCATGCTTGTTTCAGCCTCTCTCAGGGCTGCATGGCAGGTTTGGATTAAAAGCAGAGGGCGTATCTTTGCACCTACAGGTTGCAGCTGATTTTCTGTTCCACAGGAGAAGGAAAGAGACCTTATATTCCTCCAGCACCTCTTTCCCAGTGTTGCTAGCCTAACTGGCAGGTGGAAAAGCTAATTCTGGGGAAGTTCAAGCAACAGGTATACATATTCCCCTTAACAGACAACGGGAACAACACACAGGACCGGAGCTAATGTCTGTTGCTGCCTTTCCAGCCAAAAGAAACAATACGAGACCTAGATCTTAGTCTTCCAGGCAACGCGTGCGCGCACGCATGTGCATGTGGACTCCCACATGTGTTACGGGGTTCTTAACTTTAAAAAGGGCAGGCAGCCATCCTTCTCCACCAGCAGTGAAAAGCAGCCTTCATTTCACATTCTCTTCCCCTCCAAGGCCCCGACGTCCCACTGCCCCCAAGCTCAAAGGCTGGGATCGTTTCTCTGGGAAGATTTTCCTTAAGCAAAAGGAAACAGCATCAAACTTCCACAGAAAAGATGGGTCCCCAACAGAGCGGTTGGCTTTAAACAAAACCATCCGCTTTTGTTTCTTCAGCCAGTGGAGATTTTTAGGCTTTTGTTCCCGCTTTTTAGCAACGCTATTGTTTTCTAGGTGATGTTTGTGCCGAGTTGTTTGGAAAGATGCCCTATCACCGCACCGACCGATTAGAACTAGGTGTAAAGAGGGAGAAGCAAGAGAAGAAGAAAAAAAAAATTAAATCTCCTTATTATGGTGCATAAACCTTCAGTGTTGGGGAGCTGGGCAGCTGCGCAGGAAGAAAAATGCATTCAAAAATATAATGCTAGTGTGAATAATCCTTTCTCGAATGCTGCTCGCAGACTGCTTCAGCTTTGTCAGGTGAACTTGAACTGGGCCATCAGATTTGCTGCCGTTCCCATTGCACACTGCCTATCACCCCGGGGCATTCACCATCTTGACTGTTGTTAAAAGCGAGCAAACAATCCATCATTGAGCCGGGGAGTCACTCGCTCATAGAAAAGTAAAATCGGCATGTGACGCGACACTTGGCCCCACTGTTTTGCAGATTAAAGTGATACATGAAAACTCACGTGTTACTGGGAAGATTAAGCCCGTTATCTTGTTCTTCAGCCAATAAAGGACGGCCTTGTCTGCAGGAGTGGGGAAATGCTGGCTTTAACCAAGTGACAAGCGCTCTGCGTGCATAGCTGTGTGCTCCGGCAAAAGAGCGTGCCCAGCTCTGAAGAGGAAACAAAGCTAGTTAGCAAGATCTCGGGAATTAATAGGCAGCGGAGATGCTGTGTTAAAGCCTCTCTGCAGAGGCTTTCCCTTCTCTATAGAGACAATTAAAAGCAAAACAAAACCTCCCGGACAATCTCTGCAGAACAAAGTGTCCTAATGCGCTGCCAACAGCCGGCCCTGCCGTGACTGCTGCGGTAGCACATGCAGTTTCGAGGCCCCCGAAAAGTAATGCCTTTTCCAGCTCACGCCTCTTGTTCAAAGAAAGGAGAAGAGATGTATTTAGATACGCTCCTGAATAAATCCATCTGTGGGAAATGTTCATATTTTGGTTTCTTCCTAACATTTGCCTTTAGCGGCTGATTTCTTTGGTTGGTTTGCAGCACACATTTAACCATCTCGGTCGGAGATATGGCGACTCGCAGTTAACGGTATCAAGTATCAGCTTGTCCGGTTCCCTGTTAAAACAGACACCACCATATTTAACCCCGTAGCTTCTACTGGTCTGACTCTTTACAGGCTCGGGCCCAAATTCCGAGGGAGCGGTCCTTCACAAATGCAGGTGCTCTGTCTTCACCCAGGGCTTGGATACCGGCAATCCTGGATTAATGTGCCCTATAACCCCATCACCTGATGAATGTAGACACATACATGGCCTGAAACACACAGATTTGGTTCACATTTGTGGTATAAATAGGTGATTATTGAGAGAAATAAACAGTCGGCTCAGACTGATGGTGGAGCATTTAGTTTTGTCTGGAAGTTTCATATAAATTCAATGGTTTATATTAAGTAACTTGCTACCCAGGCTGCTTTTTGGGCTTGATTAACTACAACACACTCCGGAGTCCACCGTAAGAGTGCAGTATGACGGTTAAGAGCCAGTCGCCTCGTGGTCTCTACAAAACGAGCCCAGCTGCGTTGTGCTGGTTCTAGTCAGGACAGAGTGAATGCGTTGTGCTGGCGCAGCGACGTCTTACCATTAACTGTAGGGACATCAAGTCTGAAGAAGCATTTCCTCCTCTCAGCGAAAGCAGATGACCCGGGGACTTGAGTTTACACCCCGTGTAAGCGCTGCAGTAAGTCAGGCACAAAAACATCCCGCTCTTGGCAAGGTGGTGACGCGCTTTCCCATCCTTCAGGGAAGAGGCTTCTCCCGATGACCTTTCTCGGCTGCTGCATGTCATGCACTCACGCACGGAAGTTAGTAAATTTGATATCAAGAGGGAACGAGCTGATGCAACCAAAGCCAACTAACCACAGGCAAAATGATTTTCTCTCTCTTCTGCCAGTAGCCATCGTCATTACGAAGCACTTTGGGGATCTTCTCTCACAAAGAATGCCGTGCGGAAGGGAGACGCTCGGTTATTCTGGCAATACGAGGCTGAGCCAGGCTGCCTCCATCCCTCTCCCTCTCCACCAGCAGCTTCCTGGGCCGTTAAGGCCAGCGGAGTTAATGGGGAGCCCGGCCCCGCTGCCATAAACCTGGCGAGAGCCCAGCTGCTGGATTTAGGCGTCGGGCCTTTACCGGA